AGTCCACAGCGCCGGATCCCGGGAATGCCGGAGCCCCGGGGTGCCGGATCCCGGGAATGCCGGAGCCCCGGGGTGCCGGGTCCCGGGAATGCCGGAGCGCAGGAACGGGGGTCCCTGGCGCTGCCCGCTCATTCCGAGCAGTGCGGGACCCCGAGGGGGCAGAGATCCCGGGATGCGCCGGGGGATGCCTGGGGGACGTATGGGATGCATAGGGCTGCCGAGGGGGTGTGCGGGGCCGTGTGGGAGGTGTTCGGGGGTCAGAGAGGGGGTGTTGGAGGATCTACAGGCGCTGCACAGGGTGTATGGCAGTGCACAGGGGCCATGCGGAGCTCTATAGCAGTATATAAAAGTGTGCGGGGCCCATATAGGCCCATATAGGGATGTATAGGGGGTATAGGTGCCTCGCAAAACTGTAGAGAGGTATATAGGGCTGTTCAGAGGAGTATAGGGGAGCTATAGGTGCCATAGGGAACCACAGACTGGTGTGCAGAGCCCCTGTGGGGCTTTGCAAGTGGTAAAGAGGGGTATAGGGGACTATACAAGTCTCTGTGTGTTGTGGGGGGGGAAAGGCTGTATGGGAGGGTATAGGGCTCACACAGGGCGGTTTGGGATGGACGGGGAGGTATATGGATCTATAGGGCTTATGTAGGACGTTGTAGGGGTTTATAGCGCTATGGGGGGCCTTACAAGGCTGTGGTGATTGTACCAATGTATATAGGGGTGTATAGGGCTACACACGGATGTATAGGATGAGGCTGGGCAGGGCTGCATAGGGGTGCCTCCAGTTTTATTTTTTTAGGAGTCTTTTTCGGGACTGGCACAGGGCTGTATGGTGTACACAGGAGTATATAGGCGCACATAGGGCACGCACAGGACCCTAAAGGAGCTGCCTGTAGGATTCCATAGGGCTTCCAAGGGGCGCATATGGGTCCACAGGAATCCATAGGGCTCCATAGGTGCCCATAGGGCTCCATAGAGATACATAGGGGCACATGGGGGTCTATAGGGTCCACAGGTGCCCATCGGGATCCATAGGGGCTCACGGGGGTTTATAGGGCTCCATAGGGGCACATAGGGGTCTATAGGGCTCCATAGGGACCCACACGGCTCCATAGGGGCACACGGGGGTCTATAGGGCTCCATAGGGGCCCACAGGGCTCCATAGGGGCACACGGGGGTCTATAGGGCTCCATAGGGGCCCGTTCCGCGGTCCCGCCCCGTCGCCCCGGCAACGGCGCGCGCGAGGCCCCGCCCCGCGGGGGTCCCGCCCCCTGCGGTCACGTGCTCCGGG